ACATCACGTTTCTTGGGAGGACCAGAACACGAAGACAACCATTTTTGGTGGACATCCTGTGTTGGACAGAACACGTTTGCTTGGTCTTGAGTCAGCCAGCCAAGCCTTGTGATCAAGCGAGGATTCCTGTGGATACGAAACTCCGGTGTGGTGGTTGCGGATGGAAAAGTCCCATTCCACCCTTCTTGCCACACACTTGTTCAAAATCTGGAAATGTTGGAATTCTGGAAAATGTTGTTTCATGTCGTCCCATCCAACTGTCTTGTTTGACATGTTCACTAACGAAGCAGGAGCTCTGGGAATTGATCAGGAGGTTGTTTCAGACAATACGTTCACTGTTTGCTGGGAGAACACCCAGGAAATAGGAGGGGTGGAGTAGAGGAGGCCACACTCAGTTTCATGTGCTGCGTTTGCAGCTCTAACAGCCATTTGAAAAACTTCCCAAGTGCCTGTGCCATGTGGCTTAATCCAAACATTGCTCCATAAGTGTCGCCAGTCAGTGCCTTAGGTAAACGACTGGGTTTCTTGCACTCCAGAATCTAGTGTTAAGTTGCTGCCTTAACAGGCTTTAATGGCTTCTAATGTCCTGGCCCCACTGGAGGACCTCCTGATGGCACTGGTATTTCTGGCCACTGTGTGACACAGAGCGTTGGATTGGGTGGGCCTTTGGCCTGATCCAACATTGGCATCTCTTATGTTCTTATGCCTGAAATCAGGATCCAAAGAACCACACAGCTAGCAACGTGTACCCAGCTGGGGCTCCACACTTGTTTCTTGTCTACCCAATCTCCATTCCGTACCACAAATTGCTTTTGGCTGTCAAGGAAAGGCAGGGGGCTGTCAAAAGCTGTTGGTGGTGTGGCGTAAGGGCTGTATTCGAATCAGAAAATAAAAATCTCAGTGGGCCTATTCAAGCTGGGCATTTCTGAGGCAGTTCTCTTGTGGCCCTTTCTTATCGCCCAGGGAAATGCTGATCACCACTTCGGGGTCAGGAAGCAATTGTTCTCCAGGTCGGTTTGGCCAGGGATCCTGGAGGGTCTGGGGGGATTTTGCCCTGTTCTGGGCTTAGAGCAGGGGTCGGTGGGGGGTGGGAGGTATTTGTGAATTTCCTGCATTGTGCAGGGGGTTGGACTAGATGACCCTGGAGGTCCCTTCCAACTCTATGATTCTAATCTTGAATCTTACATCTGTTGTTTCTTAGCAGAGACATTTCAAAGAATGTGAAACACAGGAATTTGAAGTCTGTTTTAAACATTCAGGGTGCGACCTGGACAGCCCTCCAGGAGTGAAAGATCCATCGCTTCTCGCCACTTTTCCCCATTATGCTCCCTCTCATGTGCCTTGGTGCCATATGGTGAAAGGTTGGATACAAATGTCTTAAATTGGTGGCTTTCAGTTTTTCTACCTGCTGGGTGCCTTTTCCAGGTCATCTTGAGAGGACACCCTGCACGTCCACGAGAAACCGCAGCGCCTGTGGAGGTTTCTGTGGGTACGTTTTAGGACATGCCTTCAGCAAGGGGTGTTAGCCAGGCCTGTCGAGCTTTTTCTTTACATGTGAGTTAGCCTGAGCACGGACCCAAACATCTGGCTACAGGATGTGGGAGGGAACCCAGGGACCTCCGGTTTAAAACTGTTTTGGTAGATGTTGCAAAAGGTTTCCAGCTGAGACCGTGGAGAGCCTCTGTCAGTCAGGGCGGGCATCTCAGACCTTAATGGGCCAAGGAGCTGACTCAGTAGAAGGCGGTTTCACATGAGTAGACCTCCTGAGGGAAACGTTTGGCTACTACTGATTGGTTTGGAAGCCGCAGGTTTATATTAAGGTTAAGTTCCAACTAGTGACAGGCTGCTGTTCTACTTATGCTGCACAAAGGTGACCTTTGAACCATGGACCACCCCGTTCTGGCGTCCTCCTGTCCTTTGGATTTTTCTGTTATGACCAAACTCTGCCTTTTGGAAGCCTTCCAGTCTGCAGGTTTTGAAGAACTCGCCATGGGTTTGTGAACATATTTATTTTCTCCCCTCTCACAATGGGCTTTTTCACATGGGTTTTTTGGGTGGCAGTGGGGGTCAGTTCTCACCCCATACTGCTTCGGTTTATCTCCTGATTTCTCCACACATTTTTGTGCCTTTCGTTTTCACGGTTTTTTTCACCTTTACCCCGGTGTTTTTCTGGAAGCCGATTCTGAGTTGCCTTTTTCCTCATGCATGATGTTTCTGTTGGTTTTCTTTGTCCCATCGACTCCCACCCACTTCCAGCCCATGTTTCAACGACTGGACTGTCATGGTCAAACCACTCCCTCTCCTCCCTCATCCCAAAGATGAGTGTTTTCAGATTTTTTTTAATGGCACTAAAATATCACTCGAGTATTGTAACAATAGGCTCAGGAAGTTCTCGTCATTCCTAGCTTTTTAAAAAAGTGAGTCTCTAGTCTTTTTCCTTGCAAGAGATATGCCTTTTTCCTCATATCTCCAAGAGGGAAGAAGCTAGAGACTTCCTTTTTAAAAATGGAAGCCAGGAATTCAGAGAACCTGCAGAGCTTATTGTTACAACGCTCTAGCAGTATATCAATATTTTAGTGCCTTTTAAAAAGGGTGTGTGTGTCTAGTCTTTTTCCTTGCAAGAGATATGCCTTTTTCCTCATATCTCCAAGAGGGAAGAAACTAGAGACTTCCTTTTTAAAAATGGAAGCCAGGAATTCAGAGAACCTGCAGAGCTTATTGTTACAACGCTCTAGCAGTATACAAATATTTAGTGCCTTTTTAAAAGGGGGGGGGGTGCTGTGATGCCACCAGTGACAACAGTACTAATTAGTCCTAATTATTTAAAGCATATGCAGAAGAAAATAAACTGACTCCACAACTGTGAAAATGCAGAGGGAAGGCAGATGTGCGGAAGAACCATGCCAAAAGCAATTCCAGTGTTTGTAGATCAACTGTCAAGAAAATCAGGAGTAAGGTGAGCGTACGGAAAAGCCCTGTGTCCAAAGTATCCATGGCTGTAAAAATTTTCTTTGGTGCCTCTCCCAACTTTTTTTTTTGGGGACACTATGGAATCTCTGTTTCTAGGGTGTGATTTGATTCATGTCAATTAACCTGTAATGTTGAAATTGGTATATAGAATTATTTATTTTGTATATTCCGTCCGTTCAAATTTGTATGTGTATCCTGTTTATTCAATAAAATGTTGTCTCTCACTCATTGGTTCGTGGAATGTTTTCAGCTGGTTGGGTGTGTTTGTGACAACTTGTTAATGACATGAATCATGGCAGCTTTGTCTTCAGGTTGAAGGTGTTAATGTACATTTTGGGGGAATTCCAAGCATGCTTTATGAAAACATCTGGGAGCAGAGTAGGGGTGTGCAAGAAAAAAAATCGGTATTATTCAGGTTTAGGTATATCAGTATTTCCCAATATTCTTGAATCCCAATATCAGTATGATATTAGGATCCAGGAAATTGGGATTGCTGAAATTTTTTTTGCTCCATTATACCCTTTGGTGACCATTCTTCATAGGCTGGAATGGAGAATTGATCCAAGGGTATCTGGGGCTCTGGGGGGCTATTTGTTGAGATAAAGGCACCAAATTTGCAGGATTGTTGCTGGTACCTCTCCTCAAAACCCCCCCCCCCCCCCAAGTTTCAAAAAGATTGGACCAGGGAGTCCAATTCTGTGAGCCCCAAAAGAAGGTGTCCCCATCCTCCGTTATTTCCAATGGAGGAAGAGAAAGCCGTTTAAAGGGAACACAGAAGGTGGGTGAGATCGCCGCTTTGGAGTCAACTCGCATGTGGTACAGCTTGTATTACATTGCAGCATGCTGCAAGAGGAACCTACCAGCCATTAGGTATAGTTGAGCCTGAATAAAAGCCGATTCTTTTGTCTTTTTTGGGGGGGCTCAGCTATATAGGTAGCCTGATTAGATTTTCTAATCTGTATTTGGCTGAATATTTGGCTCAGTTTATACTGCACGCACATCCATAGAGCAGAGCAACAGTTTCTAACCTAGGGCCCAGTTTTCTCATCACCTCTTGGTATTTCTGTAGTTTGCTCTTACAGGGTGAAATTTTTACAGAACACCGAATAAGAATATTTAAACAGGAAGCTGGTGGCTCAAGCGGTTAAGATGCTGAACTGCTGGCTGTGGAAGGTCAGTAGTTCAGCAGTTCGAGACCCGGGTCCCGCATGATGGAGTGAGCTCCCGTCTCTAGTTCCAGCTCCTGCCAACCTAGCAGTTCGAAAGCAAGAAATTGCAAGTAGATAAATAGGTACCACTTTGGTGGGAAGGTAACAGCGTTCCGTGCGCCTTGGTATTTAGTCATGCCGGCCACATGACCACGGAAACGTCTTCGGACAGCGCTGGTTCTTTGGCTTTGAAACGGAGATGAGCACCGCAACCCTAGAGTCGGATTCAACTGGCTTTCGAGCAAGGGAACCTTTACCTTTACCATCAGATGAAATACATGTAGTTAGTCTTTGAAGTACCACTGGGCTTTTGGTTTAGTTTTGTTTCGGCAGACTAACATGGCTAGAAAGCTAGAATTATTTGAATAGAATACTGTCCATGTTTGCCTTGTGAAACCTGGAACAAAGAGGCTTACTGGTTTATACAATGTGAATGTGTTCTATTGTATGTTTACTGACTGGACAAGATAGCCCAAATGTGCGTGACAGGTTTGCAGGATGTCTCTAAAGGTCTTGCTGTACTTCATGGAGATTGGATTCATTCCTTGATTCCCACTGTCAGCTGCAAAATGCTACAGCAGCTGGAACTAAGTTTTGAACTGGGTTGTGGGCAACTGAATAAACCCCCTGGAATTGTGTGCCAAAGAGGACAAATCAACACTGCACAGAGTCCTCATTTTTTTTATTTCTTTCCAGTGAAAGGCTTGTCTGCTCGCTTTGCATTTCTTCTGAGTACAGATGTGCTGCTGATCTTCTCTACCTTTCCTAAACAGTAATAGTCTTGACACCTTTATTCTTGCTTTGAATTCCGCAGGGATGTGATCAGTTTCTTGCAATGACTTGTTCGATCCAGCTGCGGAATTTGGAGATGCGGGTGTAGACAGCGGGAGTCCGGACATTGCAGTTGGTGGTGCCCCAGGAGACTATCCCAATCAGATTCCAGACTGAGCCTTTCATGCACACGAGAGGGCCCCCAGAGTCACCCTAGAGAGAGAAGAAGAAGGCATTTCCCTTAAACTTAGTTAGGAGAGTCCTTACAAGCTGCCAGATGCATTCCTTTCTCATGTACTGGTATCTTAAGCCTTCTGGGTAAGATAATGAGCTGGAACCTAGTGGGTTGTTGATTTCTCACATTTATCTTCCCCTCCATGGAAATGGAAACTTAGGCAGATTGTGAACTTAGGCAGATCATGAGAGGGAGGGCAGGAAGGGTTGCATCAGTGCTTAGTTCTTGTGGCCCTTTCTTACACGCACAGGGAAATGCTGATTGCCACTTTGGGGTCAGGAAGCAATTTTTCTCCAGGCCAGTTTGGCTGAGGATCTTGGAGGCTTTTTGCCATCTTCTGGGCACAGAGAAGGGGTCACTGGGGGGGGGAGGTATTTGTGAATTTCCTGCGTTGTGCATGGGGGTTGGACTAGATGATCCTGGAGGTTCCTTCCAACTCTGTGATTCTATGAACAGAAGCTGGTATCCAAGGGAATTTACTCCCGTTTCATGCTCACAGCCCTGTGGGCTTTGCGTATGTGGTTACACCCATGGGAGGGGAGCACAAGAAATGCATCCATGGCAGCAGCAAATGGCGTCGATACACACCTGTTCCTCAGCCACTCAGAAGGACTGGAAACATTTGCGGAGGAGAAGCTATTAGCCATAACAGCTAAACGGAACCTCCATATTCAGAGGCATCCTTCCACTTGACTATGGGAATGGCGGTTGCCATCATTTGCTGGTTGGGAGCTCCCAACTAGCGACTGTTAGACATACAATGCTGTGTCAGGTGGACCTTTTGATCAAATAGAAGCAATGCTCCTTCTAAGCTGTGGAGTCTTGTGAGCAATGTTCCCTCTAAGCTGTGGTGTCCGTGAGCAAAAATTCTACTTTGTGAGCTACTGGCATTAAAGTTGTGAGCAGGCGATTTGGCTGCTGCATAAATTCGTTTGCTTTGGAGCCATCCTTCCTGAGCTAAGGCACAAATGTGTGAGCTGGAGGCTAAAGAACTGTGAGCTAACTCACACTAACTCAACTTAGAGGGAACACTGCTTGTGAGCAAAAATTCTACTTTGTGAGCTTACTGGCATTAAAGTTGTGAACGAGCGATTTGGCCGCTGCATAAATCAGTTTGCTCTGGAGCCATCCTTCCTGAGCGAAGACAAAAATGGGTGAGTCAGAGGCTAAAAAACCGTGAGCCAGCTCACACTAACTCAGCTTAGAGGGGAGACTGAATAGAAGCCCTGCGTAACCCTTAAGCCTGTGTAAATGGGTGTCACAGTGATCATCGCGACCCTATTGCACCATTGGGTCACCAAGAGGGCTTCTTTGAAGAAGAGTGAAAGCTGCTGGGAAAGGGGCCTCCAAAGGTCACAGGCTTGGCACATCTGCCTCGGGATTTCCCATGTGCTCAGTCCAATATCTCAGGAGAACGGGAAGTGTGCAAAGCCGCGGTTGAGAACGGAAGGTGTGTTGCAAAACCGGATTTCCTGTATCGTCCCCATATCCTTGGGGAACCTGCCTGCAATTCTTCATCTCTGCCATGGTGAGGGAGGAGTGTGTGGGGGCTGCATCGCAGGGCCAAGGCAAATGTGCTCCTCCCTCCCTCTTCCCTTTGCCCCACTGTCACCACCACGTGGCCTTGGGAGAAGACAGCCTTGAGCAGAGTGCCTTCCTCTTTGCACAGTGCCTGCCCTCCTCTGATTACAGTCACCCCCTTACCTGGCAGGAGGAGGCACCGGCGCCCCCGGCGCATACCATGGCACCGGTGATGCGATTGCCCCAGTGTTGCTGGCATTGGCTGACCGTCACCAGGGGGAGAGCCACCTGCTGTAACTTGGCTGCTGGATTATTTACTGGGGAAACAACGAACAAATCTCAGGCAGCGAAAGGACAGCCTGATCCAAGAGAGAGGCCCCCCACGCCCTCACCTGTCCTGTTACCATCTCTGTGCTATCAGAAGTACCCTTGGTGAGATTTCCCCCTCTTCCCTCCCTCCCAGACCCTCATCTGCAGCTGCTGGACCCATCTGTCCCAGGTAGATTGCACAGATGCCAATTCTTCTGCATTCCGACAGACCGCTCCGAACGCAGTGCACAGAGCCTGGCTTTTCTTTCCCTGCTGGGCTGTTTTCAAGCCTGACCTCAGCCCAGCTGCCCTACGTACCGACGCCACTAGTCCGTCCCCAGCCAGTGGTGACACATTTCAGCCCTTCAGGAAGCGTCTCTGTGGCTGAAGCCAGGCAGACGGGAGAGACGCGGGAATTCAGCTGGGCAGGGGAGGACAGCTTCAGCAGGGTGATATCGTTGTTGAGGGTTCTGGAATCCCAGGAGGGGTGGGTGATGGCCTGGAAAACACGAGTAAAAAAAAATCAAGAGGTTAAGTAGTATGTGCTTAAGGATCACAAAGGTCTCCTCCTTGGTCTGCCTTTGGACCCTCATGAGACTTGTAAACGGGCCAAAGCAGCGCATGCAATATTTGGCTTGGAAGTGGATGAGGCCAGCCATGCCCCGATGATAGACATGCTTAAAGGGAAGGGCTGTGGCTGGATGCTAGTGCAAGTGCTTGGCATACAGAGAGTTCCAGGTTCAATCCCCAGCACCTCTAGTTTTTCCTTAAAGGATCAGATCACAGGGGATGTGAAAGACCTCTACCTGAGTCCCTGGAGGGTTGCTGCCAGTCTAAGTAGACAATACTGACTTTGATGGACCAATTGTCTGGTTCAGTATAAGGCCACTTCATGTATTAATTGCCAGGGCCTCATGTCACTGTCCTCCATGCCTTAGTGAACTCCAGCCTAGACTACTGCAATACATTCTTTGTGACACTGCTCCTGGATCCAGGGCTATTTTTGGGCAGGAACGCACAGGAACGGAGTTCCGGCTGACTCCCAAATTGGCCACACCCAGCAGGAACTCATTAGCATAACAGGCCACACCCAACAGCAGGAACTCATTAGGATTGGCTACATTAGGGGTGTGTGGCCTAACATGCAAAGGAGTTCCTGCTCCAAAAAAAGGCCCTGGGTTTTGACAACAAACAAGGTAGACAGAATAAAAAGCAAAAGGTGGGTGTGGCTGGATGACCACACTTCTGGTAACATGGGGTGTGGTCTAATATGCTAATGAGATGTGTGCTGTCATGGGTGTGGCATAATATGCTAATGAGTTCCTGCTGTTGGGTATGGCTTGTTATGCTAATGAGTTCCTGCTGGGCTTTTTCTACAAAAAGAGCCCTGCTGGATACAATTCAGAAAGTCCAACTGATGCAGAATAACACAACCGGACCGTCACCTGGTGTTGTAAGGTGGGTTAATGCTGGTTCTCTCTCTACTTTCAGGGCCAAGTTCAAGACAGTCTCTAGGCTTATAAAGTCCTAAACCTTCTTTAAAAGCATCCATTCCCATAGAAGCTTCCCTGTAGTTTTAAAACAGAGAGGCCTTACTTCAAAAGTTCCATCTCACAAGAAATCTGTGGTGTACAGCAAGGCCTTCTTGGTGGGTGCCTCAGAGCTCTAGAAGGTCCTCCCCATGAGACGTTTGTTTGACTCCATCTATTCAGGTGTTCTAAAGGGTAGCCAATGTATTCTGGTATCCTTTTGCCTTTTAACTCTAGTTTACGTGCTTTCTGATTGTCTTATATAAATACATTTTCCTTGAATATTCCATCATGATACTTTGTTTAAAAACTTATAGACATTGCCAAAATAAGTGCCATGACATGATGTAATTATCTCTCACCTTGGCTATCGCCTTCACCTGGACTGCCTCTGCATTGGAGCTTCGGTCGTATTCTCCAAGAACAACATAATTTGAGCTGGGGCTGGAGAAAGAAAGAGAGAATCTCTCAGGAGAAGAGATTGGGTTTATACCCTGCCCTTCACTACCCGAAGGAGTCTCAGAGCGGCTTACAATCTCCTTTCCCTTCCATTCCCCACAACAGACACCCTGTGAGGTAGGTGGGGCTGAGAGAGCTCTCTTGAGAACTGCCCTTGAGAGAACAGCTCTGAGAGAACTTCTGACTGTCCCAAGGTCATTCCAGCAGCTGCATGTGGAGGAGTGGGGAATCAAACCCGGTTCTCCCGGATTAGAGTCCATGCTCTCAACCCCTACACCAAACTGCCTCTCTTCTCCTTACACCCCCAATTTGCTATTATATGTCTCTCTGAAACTGCACACTTTCTGATAAACCTGAGGCCTTTTTAGGCAGAAAGGAACGTGGCTGAAGGTAGTCTTGGTACTGAATATTATTCATTCACAGGAATCAGTATGTTATCTTTTGACTCAGTTTTGAAGGTGAAGGAGCTCTGCGGTGCTGTGCTGCTTGAAGTTCATCCCAAGAATGCCAACTCTTCTATGGGAATCTGCTTGTCCTAAAACCATTGAGAAATACCTGTTGGCTTCCTTCTCTGAAATGTATCAGTTTCCCTTTCCTGTTCCAGGTGGGTTTAAGTCTCCAGCTATGGAAAAGAGCTTTTGGTTACTCACAGCGCATTGTCAAGGAAATCAAGAGTTCTTCTCACCTTGGGTTACAGTGAGCAGCGGTGACGACCCAGTTCTCATTGATCAAGGAACCTCCACAGAAATGGGCACCGGACCTCGTCTGGAAAGAAAGAGTGAAAGAAAGGGGGAAGGAGATGCTTATGAACTAAAACAATAGATGCTAAGTTTGGAACAGACATTAACTGGTTTGTTCAGTTTCTACAAACAACCCAGGTGACATCTCTGCCAACCAGTTGCAATCCAGAACTTTGATTCTTTAAAAATTATTTTAAACAGGTAATTAGGAAATTAATATCATGAAAACTATAAGAAAAAATTAATGAGTATACGCTTTGGATACAAAGAGAAAAGCAGTCATTCCCTCTTCCCATCAGGAATTAGAATTGACTAATGATTGTTTCAGGAGTGCTGAGAAGAAACAATGAGTAGGAGCAAAATTGAAAAGAACAGTAGTAGGGAGAAGTAGGTCCTTTCCTGGACTGGGATTTCCAAGTAAGAGTATAGTAGAAATTCGCCCATGGGCATGGGTTTTGCCAGATTTTATGCTATGTTAGTAGAGTGCTACGTTAAACTCAGTGTCGACCTACTACTTTAGTTCAGACTACACTGTGTGGATGCATTAAAGGTAAAGGTAAAGGTAAAGGTTCCCTTGCTCGAAAGCCAGTCGAATCCGACTGTAGGGTTGCGGTGCTCATTTCCGTTTCAAAGCCGAAGAGCCAGCGCTGTCTGAAGACGTTTCCGTGGTCATGTGGCAGGCATGACTAAACACGAAGTCGCATGGAACGCTGTTCCCTTCCCACCGAAGTGGTACCTATTTATCTACTTGCAATTTCTTGCTTTCGAACTGCTAGGTTAGCAGGAGCTGGAACTAGAGATGGGAGCTCACTCCGTCTTGCAGCACCCGGGTCTCGAACTGCTGAACTACTGACCTTCCACAGCCTGCAGTTCAGCGTCTTAACCACTTGAGCCACCGCAGTGGATGCATTAGTGGCATGGAAATATTGTTTCTTCAGTGCCACAGTATAGGCTTTTAAGTGAAGGCATTGCTTCTTAACGTCACAACTAATGGGTGAAGACCATGTGCCTTATGTGTTAACTTTCTTCCCTGACCTTTTTTCAGCAGTGGCACAGAGTGTTTGGACTGCTCTTTTGTGGTGTCAAATCAGAACGGAGTAGCGGATGAGGATCTGGGCTGTTTCCACACAGGGATTTTCCCACATGGGGAACTGAGAGCATGCCCCCACTTTAGCTTCCACACCAGACTGCACGCTTTCCAAGTATGGCTTGCAGGGCTTTCCCCTTTAAAAAGACAAAGCAAAGGAAGACCTCCTTCGTTTGATTAAAAGGGGAAGTGGCAGTACAGCTTTGCCTGTGGCCAATCCAGAGTGGGGAGAGATTAGCACATTCGGAATGGCAGGTTTTTAATTTTTGCTTTAATGCCACTCAGCTATTAGGGTAGGAAGGGTGGGATTCTTGCCTGGCTGGTGCTGATGTGACGAGGAGGAAGGGGCGGGGCAGGGACCAATGTTCCCTCTAAGCTCTCCTTCGTTTGATTAAAAGGGGAAGTGGCAGTACAGCTTTGCCTGTGGCCAATCCAGAGTGGGCAGAGATTAGCACATTCAGAATGGCAGGTTTTTAATTTTTGCTTTAATGCCTCTCAGCTATTAGGGTAGGAAGGGTGGGATTCTTGCCTGGCTGATGCTGATCTGACGAGGAGGAAGGGGCAGGGTAGGGACTGGTGTGGAGACACTGGTGTGTGGATCCTGTTCTACCTGCCTCTGACCCACTTGCTGTTGCTTCCACTGCGGGGGGAACAACTTCATGCCCCTTTGTGGAGCCAGCCCTGGGTTCAAATTCCCACTAAGTGTCTCTCCCTAACCTACCTCACAGGGTCGTTAATGAGCTTAAAATGGGGAAGGAGGAGAACCACGCAAGACACCCTGAACTCCCTTGTTCAAAGCATGGAATAAAAATGGGCCTGTAGAGATCTCTTTTAGTTCGGATCCTGAGTCAGCTACCGTCTCCACAGCCCCAAACATTGGCTGTTTCCAGTAATTTCTTAGGAAGTGGGACTTGCAAGATCTCACGATAAGTAGTAAATATACACAGGCGCATCCTGCATGCTTGTTCTAGTGCACTGGCATAAATCCGTGCATGGGTTTTCCATTTGTGTTACCTGGCAATCGTTGACCTCCATCATTCATTTCCCTTTCTGTAAAGCATGTCTAAGAATGATTACCATTCCCTTCACATTCCAGTTATTCTATTATCCCACCTACCCCCTCCAATTAGAGCTTCCAGGTCCCCTCAGGCCACCGGTGGGGGACAGGGAGGTAGGGTTGCCACCTCTAGTCTGGGAAACTCCTGGAGATTTGGGGACAGAGCCTGGGGTGGACAGGGACCTCAGTGGGGTATGATGCCACAGAGTCCACCCTATAAAGCAACCATTTCCTCCAGGGAAACTGACCTCTGTAGTCTGGAGATGAGCTGTAATTCCAGGAGATCCCCAGGCCCCACCTGGAGGCTGACATCCCTACCTCCAGTAGAATTCAAGAATTCGTTTTCTTTTTCGAGAGCTGTGCTTGATTCCATACAGAGCCACCTTTTGCTCTGGAGCTGTGGGCTGCCGATCCTTCATCTCCTTAGGGATCATAAAGTCGTAGGCAGTGTTCCCTCTAAGCTGAGTTAGTGTGAGCTAGCTCACAGTTTTTTAGCTTCTGGCTCACACATTTTTGTCTTAGCTCAGGAAGGATGGCTCCAGAGCAAACTAATTTGTGCAGCAGACAAATCGCTTGCTCACAACTTTAATGCCAGTAACTCACAAAGCAGAATTTTTGCTCGCAGCACTCCACAGCTTAGAGGGAGCATTGCTAGGGAGTAGCTTCGTTAGGACAGTTCAGCATCACAAAGTAGTAAGCCAGCTTTTGAGTTTGCTTCTTTAGGTGAGATGTTAAGCAAAACAAAAATGGGGTGGGGGTGGGGGCGGGAAAACTGGGGCTTGAAGGCTATAGACTGGAAGAATCTGGAAGACGGCATGGAGGGGGTCTGGTGCAGAGTTTCAATTAAGAGGATCGGGTTAGTCTCTTGGCCAAGGCTACCGGGACAGAGCCACACAATGGCTGTTCTCCCTTTGAAAATATAAAGGCTGGCGGTAATTCAGATTCCCTTTCTGGCATTAATTGGAACACATGAGTCCCTCGTCAAGCGGACAGCAGACGTCTTTGTTGGTGGCCCTTGACCCAATTCTTGAAACTCTCTTTTGCTTATGATAGTTTGTGCAGCTTACAGTGCAGTTGTATTAGCGTGTGACCCGTCTCAGCCAAACAGGCAGAGAGGACCAATCCTGCATAGGACTGCAGTTAGGAGACCGGTCATGATGACACATAATAAAAGGCCACTTTGGATGCTCTTCTTAGGAGGACTGAACATGTCCGGCTGCTTTCTGAGCCAGACCTTTGGTCTCAAGGTTGGTATTGCCTACTCTGACCGGCAGTGACTCCCAAGGATCTCAGGCAGAGGTCTTTCACACCGCCTTCCTACCTGATCCTTCTAACTGGAGATGCTGGGGACAGACCTTGGGACCTTCTGTATGCAAAGCAGAGCCAGTTTGGTGTAGTGGTTAAGAGCGCGGACTCTAATCTGGGAAAACCAGGTTTGATTCCCCACTCCTTCACATGCAGCTGCTGGTGAGACCTTGGGTCAGTCACAGTTCTCTCAGAGCTGTTCTCTCAGGAGCAGTCCTCGAGAGAGAGAGAGCTCTCTCAGCCCCACCTACCTCTCAGGGTGTCTGTTGTGGGGTGGGGAAGGGAAAGGAGATAGTAAGTCATACTGAGACTCCGAGTAAAGGGCAGGGTATAAATCCAATCTCTTCTCTTCTTCTTCTCTACCACTGACCCACACTTCCTCCCCTAACCTGCCAATTCCAATGCCTAGAAGATCCATGTAGCTGCAAGAGGTTAAGCAGGTACTGCTACTACTGCCTGCTTCCCACGTGCTCCGGGGTCCGTCCCCCTCCTCTTACTGTGGCTCTAGGTAAGCAATGCAACAGGCAGGAGACAGGTGATGGGGGTACAGGCAGGAGAAGCTACCTCGCCTCGCTCTTTAGTTCCTGGTGCTTTTCTGTATTCAAGACAGGGAAAGATCCCCCCAAAAGATTCCACAGAGTCTTACCTGCAGAGAGACCTGCCAGGGCCATGAGCCTGGGACTGCATTCTGTCCATTGACAATTCGTTCTGTGTCCCTCACTTGGCTAGAGAGACAAAGCGTGTGTGTGTGTGTGTGTGTGTGTGTGTGTGTGTGTGTGTGTGTGTGTGTATACAACTCTGCAGAGCCGGCCGAGGTCCTAGGAGAAGCCAGGCCCATGTTGAGTGCCCAGCTCTCCAGTCACTCCCGGCCCAAGTTTTTGTGGCACAGATAGCATCTGTGCCTGCTGCTCACTCCACATGCATGACAACATGCAAAAATACTACCGAGGGAGGGGGGAGGGCTCTTATTCCAGTGCTGTAATTCCTATCTGTGCTTGCAGTTGGGGCATAAGCTTAATGAGGGCACAAGTTGCACGGAACTGCCTTATACTGAATCAGACCATGGGTCCATCTAGGGTCAGCACTGTCTACTCAGACACACCATGGCTCTTTATAGGCAGAGGTCTTTCACATCACCCCACCCTGTCCTTTTAACAGGAGATGTTGGGGCCTGAACCTGGGACCTTCTGTGTGCCAAGCTGATGCTCTGCCACTAACAGAACAAAAACGAAAAAATGCCAGGTGATAGGTGAATGATTTATTATACCAAGCATCTACGTTCACCTAATGCTGGAACTGTCCACAGCGATTCTTGTGGATAATTCCAGCACTGGGTGAATGTTCTGATTCCCCTTAACAAAGCCTGCGCAGCAAAACATGGAGGGTCTTTGTATAATAAATCATTCATCTGTCATCGGGCATTTCCCCCTTTTTTGTTCTGTTGGCACATTGCTGGGTGCACCCCAGTTTTTCTTCATTTTGCTCTACCACGAAGCCATGGGCCCTTCCCCCAAGATGCCAGCAAGTTCCCAAGGCAAGGATAGGAAGTTACTTTCCCTTTCCTCTGTAATGGAAGGAAATCGTTAAACTTATTTTAATTTTAATGTAATTTTAAATCGTTGTGTGTTTTTTGGAAATGTCTTCCCCCGCCCTGAGCCCTGTTTGCAGGGAAAGGCGGGTTAGAAATCGAATGAAATAAAAGAAGTAAACAAATTGGACAGGATGGCCTGCAGGGAGGGCTGTGTAATCAGGTGTGTTCTGGGTCGCATAGAACTGAAATCATCGCCTCCCCCCTCTATCTTGGGGCCCCATCAGTCACGAGCGAGGGAACAAACCCAGAGGGTGGCTCAGCCCGCAGGCGGAGAACATCTGGCAGGTGCAACTCACCCAAGACTGCGCCAAGGAGAGTGAGGTACACAGCAGCCACCGGTGCCCACAGCAAAGCCATTTCGGTTAGGAGCCCCAGGGAACTACCGATGGCCCCCTGCCACTGACTTTATACTGGCCCAGGGGTTGGCAGCTGCACTCGCTTCCCCCAGACCTTGAGCTGATAATAGCAGCAGGCCAAATTTAGCCTGTGGTGCTGTGTGCAGGTTTCTTTGCCTGTGGGGCTGTGTGCAGGTTTCCTTGGCAGAACCACAGAGCTGGCAACGGCAGCTGCTGCCCCTAACTGCCAAACCTGCAGGGAAACCCACGTTCAGGATTGGTGTCTCTGGCCTGGGCGGAAAATATGCGAGGAAAGAGAGTCCGTGGGTTGGATGCCATGAAAGGTTTCCATGTGTGGCAGTCCATGCTCAAGTGGAGGCGCTCGCTGTCTGTTTGCACGAAGTGACCGTGATTGTATCCCTAGGGTTCTTTCCCCTGTGGACAAGGTGTGGTGCAAAGGGTTTTGATCCCATTTCAAAAACAAATGGGATGAAATCTTCCAAACGGGCTGCTCTTATTTGCACCTTGTGATTTTGCCTTTTAAAAAATACATTAAAGTGCTGTGTGTTGTTGAAGCCTCTGGGTGAGCAGAAATGTGCTCCGTACATTTTCCTTTCCAGTCATGAACTGCTGAATCCAAGCCCTGAATTCCTGGAGAGCCTGATCTTGTCAGATCTCGGAAGCTAAGCAGGGTCAGCCCTGGCTAGTACTTGGAAGGGTGACCTCCAAGGAATACCAGGGACATGACACAGAGGCAGGCCATGGCAAACCACCACTGAAATGTCTCTGACCTTAAAACGAGTCTAGCTCGCCACCTAGTGGTGCATAAAGCCAAAAGAGCTAGAACTTCTGGATGCCAGACAATCTTATTATTCCCTGGCTATACGACACACACTGCCATATAAATTATTGCTGAATCCAAGCCATAGAGTTGCTTTATAAACGTATTTTACAAATGCACCCACAACAGTCATTCTGAAGCCGTGTGTTACTTGCCCTACCAATGTTTGTATCCTTTGTCCACTGGAATGAGGTGGAGTGGTGTTGTGGCTAGAGTGTTGGACTAAGATCTGTGGGACCCAGGTTCGAGTCCTCGTGCTTGCCATGGAAGCTTGTTGGATGACCTTGGAATGGTGCCTCTCTCTTAGCCTGATCCCACCTCTCAGGGTGGCTGTTAGGGTGGCCAGTTCCGGGTTGGGAAATACCTGGAGGTTTTGTGGGTGGAGCCTGGAGAGGGTGGGGCTGTGGGAGGGGAGGGGAGGGGCCTCAGCAGGGTACAGTGCCATGAAGTCCACCCTCCCAAACCACCACTTCCTCCAGGGGAACTGGTCTCTGTCATCTGGAGATCCGTTGTAAAAGCAGGGGGGTCTCCAGGCAGGCCCCACCTGGAGTTTGGCAGCCCTAGTGGTTGTGAGGATAAAATGGAGGAAGGATAAAACAACGTATGCCCCCATGAGAAAGAAAGGGTTTAAAATCTACAAAATCAAATGTTACTGCCCACGCCAGCAAACTGAGAATGCGGCATGGAGTCTCCTGCTGTGCCTTTGCCCATCGACAGAACCTGTTTCCCTTCGTAGAAAAACCGAAGGTGTCAGAGTAGAGATGTAAAATTTCTGGAAATTTTGAAGCTCGGAAAAAAACGGAAATTTTTAGAAACAGTGAAAAATTTCTTTTGTCTTTTCAAGATTGAAAGTCATTCTGTTACTTTAGAAACATAAAATATGACTATGGACATTTTTACTTGGCATGAAATTATCACAACTAGCATATTAAAAATATAGTGTATCCAAACAATTATTACAAACAGAATACCCACCCACATGCAAAAACAAAACTGAAACTTTTTAATTTTCTTCTGACAATTGCACCTCCTAAAGGAAGAAATGCATCTTGTTCTTGCATTGGAGAGTTCAGTTTGTAACCTAGGACTGGCTTCTCCTCAGTGCACAGAAATTAGATCAATCTGATACCACATATATATGTTTTAGAAATTATTTGGAAAATATGTGAACACTTTGTCTTAAAATATTTTATTCATCATGTTAAAATAAAATGTTCCATAATCAATTTTTTTTCCTTTTCTTTTTTCAATTTTTACAATTTTTCAGAAAACAACAAAAAGGCGTCAGGGAAAAAACAGGAAAAAAACATTTCCCTCCCGAATTTTTCCAGTTTTTTCCCGGACCTTCACATCTCTATGTCAGAGTGACCGCTGCTTCTCCCCATAAACCACTTCCAGAGTGGTGGGGGCTATCCCAGGCAGCAAAGAGAACTACATGGGCATTAGGGTTGCCAGGTCTGGGTTGGGAAATACCTGGAGACTTTGGGGGTGGATCCAGGAGAGGGCGGGGTTTGGGGAGGGGAGGGGCCTCACCGTGGTACAATGCCACAGAGTCCACCCTTCAACGCAGCCATTTTCTCCAGGGGAGCTGATCTCTGTCAGCTGGAGATCAGTTGTAAAAGCGGGAGAACTCCAGGCCCCACCTGGAGGCTGGCAACCCTAATGGGCATGGGTCTTTACATGGCTGAGGCTGGGATTTCAAGCACACGTGTCACACCCGGGATGCCTCAAGTCCAATCCCTGGTCTGGTAAAATACATTGTGGGGTAGTAATTGTGCAAAAGCCCATGCTGGCCCGATTGCATCAGACTGCAGAAGCTAAGCAAGGCCAACCTCAGTTAGCACTTGGATGGGAGACCACCAAGGAAGTCCAGGGTTGCTACCCAGAGGCAAGCAATGGCAAACTACTTCTTTTTGTCTCTTGCCTTGGGGATCCTATGGGGTTGCCATAAGTTGGCCTGCAACTGGACGACACTTTACGCACACAGTGGTGCAAGTCTGGTTTAAGCTTTATTGCAAGTGTGGCCTACAGGAAACCAGAATCCCACAGTTTCATTTTAGAAGCTCCTGGGCTGAAGTTTTAGAAGGAGAGGCGAGGAGGCAATGGAGTAACTGGAGAGGGTGCCAGCATGGGAAGGGTTGGGGTGTTCCCTGAAATGTCTCCAAGCGGATCAGGAGGAAGCAGGCCCGTAGCTTCAGTGGGGCCTCTCGGGGCTAGGCCCCCTGAGTTTCTGGCAAGGCCCCACGACTTCCCTTCCAGCCCAGGGCCCACGAGGGGTGGCAGCTGCAGAGAAGGAGCCGGGAATTCCTTTAATTCGATCAGCCAGTGCCCCCTAAGAAATTTAAATGCCCCCCGACTTTAAAAACCCTGGCTACAGGCCTGGGATGAAGGAGTCAGTACAATGATACTCCTCGTTCTCGATCTCCCGGTGGTCTCCTTCCTGGGGTCCACAACTCTTTGCCAAGGTCTCTTGCTCCTTGTTCTTCCCCATGTTTACTTGGTTCAGCTCTTATTCTCTGCAAAGTCATGGGTGGGGGGAGGGGAGGGAGGTCCTGGCTGTGTGCCTCTGAACAGTCGTGTGCTGAATATGTGTGCATATCTCACGGTAGCTCCTTGAGACAGGTGTGCAGCAGACCTTGCTTTCCCAGAGGCCGGCCGGCTGGTGGTGCTTGGAACAAGCAGGTCAATAAGTTTACTTACACGTTTTGCTCACAAACAGATCTGCAGACGATTTAGCCCTGGATCCAAAGGCCAAACTTGGAAGGGGTGAGTGACGGGAAACAGGAGAAAGTAGTACAAAGTAGGCAGCCGTGTTGGTCTGAAGCAACAGAATAAGAAGAAGAGGAGATTGGATTTATACCCCATTGCCCTTCACTTCCCGAAGGAGTCTCAGAGCAGCTTGCCCTCTCCTTTCCCTTCCCTTCCCCCACAACAGACATCCTGTGAGGCAGGTGGGGCTGAGAGAGCTCTTTGAAGACCTACTCTTGACAGAACAGCTCTGAGAGAGCCATGACTGACCCAAGGTCACACCAGCAGCTGCATGTGGAGGAATGGGGAATCAAACCCAGTTTTCCCAGATTAGGGTCCGTGCTCCTAACCACTACTCCTAACCACTACTCCTAACCACTAACTCTTACAAAGTTAGAGTCCAGTGTTACCTTAAAGACCAACAAAGTTTTATTCAAGGTGTAAGCTGTCATGTGCAAGCACACTTCATCAGACAATAAAATGGAATTACAGATCGCCATCGTACATGCAGAGGGTGTAGGGCTGCCAATTCTCCCCGGGGGGCAAATTTCCCCCCACTTTGGAGGCCCGATAATCGGGCCCCGGGGGAAACCCCACCCCGGCGTGCACGTCACCCGGATGTGACGTGATGACGCCGGGCACGCTGGGGGCGGGGCCACAGCCATTTGAGGGGAAAACATAGAGGCCCTGTGGGTAGAGCGCGCCTTCCTTCCCAGCCTGCTCCTCAATTTGGGTTGCCAGGTCCCCGCTGGCCACCAGTAGGGGATTGGGGGGGGGGGTTTGGGTTGCCAGATCCAGGTTGGGAAACTCCTGGAGATTGGGGGATGGAGCCCCGGGGCCGGGGAGGACAGAGACCTCAGTCAGGTCCAGTGCCAAATGGAATTCTGGGAGGTCTCCAGCCACCACCTGAGTCTGGCAACCCTACCAATTCCCCTTTTTTCCACCATCACACTTGCACACGCAGAAAGCGCCTGACTTGACCGTTCTTGTCTGGGCTGACCCCTCAGAAGTCAGGCACTTTGCACCAGTCATTGCACCAGTGAAGTCTGCCTCAGTTCCCCCTGGATTCTATCGATCTTCCCTTCAGAATCACCGCAGCAGTTGCAGAGGGTCAATGAATATTGCTTTCTGCTGCAATCCACCCAGCCACCATTTAACCACCCTCCCAAGGGAGGAAAAGTGGTGACTGGGAACAAAATATTGCACTAGGTTCACATCCAAATCTCCGCTGAGATTGGGGAGAGAAGACAAGAGTAGAAAAGATGGTACAGACTCCCCTCCCACCCCCCAAAAAAAAACTTTTGCAGGGAAACACTAGGGACACTGCATGACACCCCCTCACACAAAACGTCCCCTCCAAACCCACTTCCAAATGTTGGGGGGAAGAGGACTGTATATGTGTGTTTCCTTTGTGTTTCCAGGAAATACACCTGGTGGTAGAAAAGAGCATACAGACATTCAGGGCTGGCAGTTCAAGAGAACAGAGAGAAGTAAGTCACTTAACCAGTTGCTTTTCTTTGGTCTGAGGCTTGCCGTGCAGTTCTAACACTTTCCTAGAAGTAAGCCCAATGAATAGACTTGAGTAGGATTCTGGGTAGACCTACTTAGGCAGCTCTTTCAAAAAAGGAGGAGGGGAAATCGGGCTTGGAGGGTGCAGGCCTTCCAAGCCAGGATCCTTTCAGCAGTGAATAGGAGCTAACGGGTTCATATTATTCATCAAGCGTACAGCCCATTCTCTTGCTTTCCTGGGGAGCCAGACCCTGAACCCAAGATTCATGTATTTTTGTTGCCATGGAGTACTTTGAAGAGTCTGTACCCTCTTCTCTTGGCCCTCTCACCCCAGGAGTAATTAGGTAAACCAAACTAGATAGGTGTCTAGTGTGGTAAGATTCCAACATCTAGTTACTCCCGTGTTGAGAAATGAGACAAAATTCACTCAAAAAATCATCAGCACACCATCTACTGGTTTAAAAAGCAGAAGGGCTCTATTAACTGGGAAGCTGAGGAAAATATCTTCGGACTTTAGTCTGTAACCACCACGCTTTCCAAAAATGTTAGCGTATATTTGGTGGGTCATTTCCCTGAAAAGATTAAGACTGGGGTGAGAAGAGACTGAACAGAATCAGAAGACAGCAGTGCTTCCAATGCGATCCTAAACAGATCTACACCCTTCTAAATTCAGGGATTTCAAGGAATTTGGAAGGATGTAATCTTGTTTAGGATCGCACTGTTACTTAATTTTTAAAAACTTCAAATAATACAGACCTCAAGGACGTAAAAAGAGCAGAATGGTTCTAGTTCGGTATATTTGCTCTTGTTAATATAAAGGTAGAACTACATGGAGCTGCGGTGGCTCAAGCGGTTAAGACGCTGAACTGCAGGCTGTGGAAGGTCAGTAGTTCAGCAGCTCAAGACCCGGGTGCCGCATGACGGAGTGAGCTCCCATCTCTAGTTCCAGCTCCTGCCAACCTAGCCATTCGAAAGCAAGAAATTGCAAGTAGATAAATAGGTACCACTTTGGTGGGAAGGTAACAGCATTCCGTGTGCCTTGGCGTTTAGTCATGCCGGCCACATGACCACGGAAATGTCTTCGGACAGCGCTGGCTCTTTGGCTTTGAAACGGAGATGAGCACCGCAACCCTAGAGTCGGATTCGACTGGCTTTCGAGCAAGGGAACCTTTACCTTTACTTAGAACTACATATGGGTGGCTGAGGCTAGCCTGATCTTGTCAGATCTCTGAAGCTAAGCAGGGTCTGCCCTGGTTAGTATTTGGATGGGAGACTGTCAAAGAAGTCCAAGGTTGCTATGCAGAGCCAGGCAATGGCCAACCACCTCTGTTCATTTCTTGCCTTGAAACCCCAAGGGGGTCCCCCATAAGTTGACTGCAACTTGACTATACATATTCCACCACCAGAACTACAGATGCACACAGTCAAAAACAATTCACAGTGCTGTGTGGACACGGTTTGCACTCTCTTTTTAATGCACATGTGCGTGCAATGAAGCAGTTGTGCCTCTTCCTGTGGAATCAACCCACCTGAAAGCAACAGGAGGAAGCAGTAAGAATGTTTCTGAGTGTATGCCTGTCTGTACCTTGCAAGCGAAACAGATGTGTAAGTCTCACACTGTGTCTGAAAGGCAGGTGGGTGACGGAACTGGCTTTCCCACGGGTTAGGCTGCCTAGCAATACTGGGGGAATGGCAGTTGATTTTGTATGGAGAAGCTTACAAAATGGTCACCCCTTTTCGAAGCTCTGCAGATCCTTGTTCTCTGTACTCCCAATTTAGAAAAAAAAAAACCAGTTCTTACAGTGAAGTGCCACTCAACTATCCAGCACACCAGTGAGGTGTAGCAGTGTTACAATGCTGGACTAGGATCTGGGAGACCCAGGTTCGAATCCCCACTCTGCCATTGAAGCTCACTGGGGACTCTGGGCCAGTCATGCTGCCTCAGCCTAACCCAACTCACGAGGTTGATAGCGTGAGGAGAACATGGTGGAGGAGAGAACAATAGAAGAAGAAGTAGTAGTAGTAGTAGTAGTTTTGTACCCCACCCTTCACTACCCAAAGGAGTGTTGGAGCAGTTTACTATCACCTTCTCTTCCCCTCCCCACAGCAGACACCCTGTGAGGTAGGTGGGGCTGAGAGAGCTATGAGAGAACTGCTCTTGAGAGAACAGCTCTGAGAGAACTGTGACTGGCCCAAGGTCACCCAGCTGACTGCATGTGGAGGTTTGGGGTTCAAACCCGGCTCTCCAGATTAGAGTCCGCCACTCTTAACCACTATACCAAACTGCTTTGGATATACGTTGGGTAGAAAAGCAGTCCCGAAATAAAATGTTTACCTGCCAGTCATGATGTACTTAAGGGTAGAATGGCCCTTTAACAATGGGTATGTTGCGGGTGTGTGCTCCCCTGGTGAGGGGGACGGAGTTGCAGGGAGGGACCTCAGCAGGGATTAAAATACCCTAATATAGGTCCACATTCAGACTGGTTTCCCCCCAGTTGCTTGCAGGCTGGATAAGAGTCCTGGGTGGGCTGGTTTTGGCCCACGGGCCATATGTTTGACTTGTCTGCTCTGAGGCATCACACCCCCACTGAAGTCCCTGCCCTCCCCAGGCTCCACCCCCAAATCTCCAGGAGTTTCCTAAGATGGAGCTGGCAACACTAGACCCCTGTCCTCCTACAGTGTCTGGGGGGACCTGGCAACCCTAGCAGCGTGTCAGTTGGCTGGTAGGTTTAACTTGGTGCAAATGTGACCGTGGTTCAGCTCTGGCATGGAGGCAGGATTTGTGTCCAGAAATCTGAACTGCTGAGTAACAAGCATGGAAGGATGTGGGCTTTACCAGGGGGGTTTACTCACTCCGCACACGTGCATCATGATAGATGTGACCTCGCCCAGAAGAATGTAATCCCCCTGGGCGGACCTGGTTTGAGTTTTAAAAAGGGAAGCTCAATTTGGAATTTTTGCAAAGTCTGTTGAAGCTACGTCATCTGTGAACTCTGCCTCAATACCAGGTCATTTCCTGCTTGGAACAGGAGCTCGGTTTTGCATAGTATTTAAAGAAAGCTCTTTTTATACCACTATTGTCTACTATTTCTTTTCCCCCATCAATTATTTTACTTATGATCTTATTCTCTCTCCTTTTTTTCAATTGCCATGCCAAAAATTTCCCTGGTTTATCTGCCCCTTCAAAAGACTTCTGTTGTAGCCTTTTCAAATTCCAGTAGATTTCTTGGTTCA